CTGCTGCTGCTGCTGCTGCTGCTGCTCTGTGGGCCACATCAATGTTGCAGCTGCAGCTGCACTGCAGGATTTTGCTTCTGCTGCACCTCTCCGAATATATTCCAAAATATGAAATCAAAATATTCTTTTGTTGCAGTGTTCGTGCTTCTGCTGCAATCCCTGGTCCCTAAACCCTAAACCCTAAACCCTAAGCCCTCGCCTTTAAGCAATGCTTCCTGCTGCTTCTGGAGGCCGCCAGCTGCTGCTGCTGCTGCCAGCAGCAGCCCCAGCCTCAATTTCTTGCCATTTTGCTGCTGCTGCTGCTGCTGGGGCCCCTCGGCGGCTTTGTGTGTGGGGCAGCAGCAGCAAAAAAGCGCTGCTGCTGCTACAGCTTCCTGCGGCGGCGAAGCAGCAGCAAACGCAGCAGCAGCAGCAGTTTATCCCTTTAATTGAGTTGAATAATTCAAAAGAAATCCAAAAGAAAACAATTGAACTTTTCCCCCAATTAAAATACCCCCTCCGCCTCCTGCTGCTGTGTATACACTGCAATTGGGGTGTACGTACACCCAAATTTATTCACTTATTTTGGCCAAATGGATTTTCATTTATACTTCTTAACTTTTAAATTATTTATTCAACAGTTTCCACGAATAATGCATGCAGGATAAATGCAAAAAGCAACAATATAACAATAATATAATTGTAAATGGTAATCTTAATAACATTTACAATAATAATAGTAATTATTATTATTATGTGTCGAGACACCTGAAAAAGGCAGCAAAGTGGAAAAGGCCTTTGAGGTGTCTGCACACCTCAACGCGGCGCCATTAGCTTCATCAAAAGAATCCAAAAAGTCCAAAAAATTGAATTTTTTGGTTCTTTTTCATTATTTGAAAGTCTTTTTGTGTTCTCCAGCACAGAAAAGAAATAAAATCCACAATGAGCTGCACATACACCTCAAAATTTAGAAACAAACCTTTTCTGTTCAAATCTGCTGCGTCATAGTGGCGCCATTAAAAGAACTCTTCGACGTTGCATTTCCGTTTCTGGCTTTTTGTTTTGATTAAATAAATGCATTCATATTTAATTTTGCTTTTTTTGATACATGAATATATTTATAATTTAAATATATATAAATGCTTTTAATCTGCTGAGGGGCTTTGCCGCGCGCATTCCCCTTCGGGTGTACATACACTCCGCAAACGCATGCACTAACACGCCCTCCCACGGGTACACGCAGCTAGCCAGGCAGCTAGCTAGCCAGATAGCTAAACAGCTAGCTAGCCAGCTAGCTTAACGGCTAGCTAAGCAGCTAACCAGGGCTTTACAGGTCTAGAGGCAGAAGAGCCCGCGCGGCTGCAACTTTTGCTGCTGCCGTGCACCCTCTCAAACCCTAAACCCTAAACCCTAAACCCTCGACACAGTGGAGTGGAAGCTATCTACACCGCCACTGTATATCCCAACAAACTCAGCCGTCTCGGCTAGCCGTAACACAGCTAGCTAGCTAGCTAGCTAGCTAGCCGTATCACTCTTTGCAGCCGTAATGGCCGTCCCATTGAAATCAGCAGCTAGCCATCTAGCTAGCTAGCTAGCCACCTAAATGAGATCCAGCTAACTGGCGAACTAGCGACGCAGCAGCTAGCCAGCTGGCTAGCCAGCCAGCTAGCCATCTACCTCGCCAACTATCTAGCTAGCCAGCTAGCTAGCTATCTTGCCAGCTAGCAGGCCAGCTAGCTAGCTAGCTAGCTAGCTAGCTATTTCTGGGCAATTTGGGTGCACTTGTTGAGAGCCAAGGCGAAGTCTGCAGCAATTGGAACTGCATTTTGGCGTCCAAAGGCGCCAACACTGACGGGGGAGCAACAAGTCTGCTGCTGCTGCTGCTGCTGCTGCAGCTGCTGCAGCAGCTGCTGCTGCAGCAGCTGCTGCTGTAGCAGCTCTGCTACAGCCAGCTGTTGCTGCTCGCTGCTGCCTGGGACTCCGCACTCGCAGTCCAGCCAGGTAGAAAAACAGCAGCAGCCGTTCAGGCTGCTGCTGCTGCTGCTGCTGCTGCTGTTGCTGCTGCTGCTTGGTCCTTGGCGAAGTCGAAGAAGCCTTCGTCGCGGACAAACCTTCTCGTGGTGCTGCTGCTGCGGCTGTCGCCGCCGCCGCTGCTGCTGCTGCTGCTGCTGCTGCTCAGTCCTCAGAAAGGTCGATAGTGCCTTTTCTGCGGACAAACTTGCCGTTGTGCTGCTGCTTCGGCTGCCGCCGCCGCCCCCGCGACTGCTGCTGCTGCTGCTGCTGCTGCTGCTGCTGCTGGCGCTCAGTCTTCAGAAAGGTCAACAATGCCTTTGCTGCGGACAAACTTGCCGTGGTGCTGCTGCTTCGTGCTGCTGAGGGCCAGAGGCGCCACCACGTTGGCCCCATCTGCTGCTGTCAGCGGCGGGGCCTCCCAGCCCGCCAAGTCCGTCTTGCACCACCCTGCAGCAAACCCTAAACCCTAAACCCTAAACCCTAAACCCTAAACCCCGGTGACTGAGGTCCCGCAAACGACGGACTGCCGCATGTTGCTGCGGACTGGAGAAAGCTCCTCAAGAAAGAGTACGCTGCTGCAGCAAGCTACTGCAGCAAGCTGCTGCATCAAGCTGCTGCAGCAAGAAGCTAGAAACTAACCAGGGCAGCAGCAAGTAATCACCATATCCCTGCAGGCCTCCATAGAGGGGCAGTGGTCGGCTTTGCGGGCCCAAGCAGCAGTCAGGGCGATCACAGCAGCCTGAAGCAGCAGCAGCAGCAGCAGCAGCAGCAGCAGCAGCAGCAGCGGGTTAAACCCTGAACCGTTGTTCACGGAAAGCATGCAAAGAAGTAAATAAGAAACCAAATGGATGGGCTCTGGATGCTTCCTTGCTGCCAGCTGCTGCTGCTGCTGCTGCTACTGCTGCTGCTACAAGTCGATGCTATGGATTCAACTCAAATTCCACTAAGTCAACTTCTTACCTTGGAGAGGCCGTAAGTCGACGAAGGCCAGCCCTCTTGCTGCCCCTTCTCGCATGCAACGATGAAGTCATCCACCACTTTGTCGATATCCTGAAAAAAGAAAATTTCTACCAACCATTATATATATACACATATATAATTTGAATCTTCTTCTATTTTCAATATTAAAAAGGAGGTGAGTGGCATGGCAACGGAAGAGAAAAAAAGACGAAATTCATGAAATCAAACATGAAAGAGTTGCACGAAAATGCAGATCCCGAGGCGGCGCCGATCCGACACGGAAGAAGCTGCAGCTTAATTTATTTGAGTTTTTTATTTTAAATTTATTCTAAAAAAGTTGAAAGAAATAACCCGAAAGATATGAATTAAACAGAACTTGAACTGGAAAACGCAACGAGACACAAGCCCGTGATCGCGGCCAGCAAAGAAGTGCGTGCAGCACGCTCTCTTAGCCCTGATCTAAGGCGGAATTGAGGGAACTTGATGTTTATTTGATTTGAATGATAAATTTAATTCTTTTAATTCGAAGTTTCCCCGAAATTGACTCGAGATTCCGCGCGAAAAGCCCACCTCTTGCCTCGCAGATTTGCTCATTAGGCGGTGGCGAAGCTCAGCGGACATTTCCTGCAGAGCCATTTCGCCTGCCGCTGAAGCCACGTTGACAATGCGGGAGCCCGGCTTGAAAAGGCCCATCATGTCTAGGGTGATCTGAAGCAATTTGCGCAAAATTAAAACAAAATAGAACAAAATAGAACAAAATAAAGCAAAATAAAACGAAATAAAACAAAAATAAACAAAAATGCAACAAAAAGTCAATAAAAAAGACCAGAAATGGAGGGGGAGGCCAAAGACATCAATGTGTGTAGCCTCTAGCAGCAAAACGGCATTTGGGCTTCCGGCTGAGCTCTAGGGTTTCGAGTTGGCGACTTCTACTGTGAACTAGGGTTTAGGGTTTAGGCTTTGAGGGTTTAGGGTTTACGTCTCTCGTTGCGTAGTAGTTGATGCCGCAGGTGACTTTGGCCTGAACAGCGACTGGCTCTGTCGCTGCCTTCTTGAAGGCGAAACCTGAAAAGATGAACGGGGGGGAAAGCGGGCGGAAAGCAGCTCATTTTGCGCGATTAAGCGGAAAAATAAAACAGAAACGGAATTATATTTGCAAAAAAAGGCTTAAAATTACGAAATTTGGGATTTAATCCGCCTTTTGAAGCCATATCGGCAGCGCGCGCTCACCCGCGTTGTTCACCAGCGAATCGACGTGGCCGTACTTGCTCTTTATCGCCGCCACAAAACTTTCCCGACTTTCTTTCTTTGTTATATCCAGCAATTCCATTTCAGCTTTGAGGCCTTCTGCAGCGAGCTTCGCGAGGGCTTGCTGCGGCGAAGCAGGCAGAAGACACGCAACAGCAAGCAGCAGCAAACTTGAATTTCGCCGCCAGCAGCAGCACGCGCGCGCTGCGCATACCCTCAGCTTTCAATTGCCGCGAAAACCCTCATCTCGAGAATTAAAAACTCCGAAAAAACTGCAAAATGCATGCGGGAATATTCAGAGGTTTCCCCAGGTGTGGGCCGGCAGACCGCGGTGTGCAGCTGCGTGTTGTTGACCGACAGTGCAGCGGATTAAAGTCTATTTTGCTGCTTACAACGCCATTTTCTTTGTCTCTCGAAGTAATTACAACAACTGCGTTCTCGCCTTTCAAATCTCGGCAAAGTTTCTTCGCTGTTTCGAAGCCAATGCCTTTGTTGCCGCCGGTGACGATGAAAACGCGCTGCGCCATTGTGCAGAACGTGAATTTGCTGCGCAAGAAGCGTGGGAGGGGGGAAAAGCGGCAAATAAAAGAACGGAAAATGGAATAAAGTGAAAATTTTGAATTAAAGCTCCAAAGGAAAGACGCACACTATTTAATCAGCCAAATTCAGGTCGATCGGGGGAGAGCTGCGGCGACACCGCGCGCCCAAATGCGGTGCAGCCTCGCGCCCGCGAAAGCGCCTTTTGCCTTCGACGGGCAATTTAAAAACGCAGCAAATAATCAGCAGCAAAAGAGAAAAGGATTTAATTATTTGTTTCTCCGCCTTCGCCTCACCGTCGCAGCAGCACAGCGTTCAAGTGTCTCGCCAACTGCAGCAACCAACACCAGCGGCACTGGAAACCGGCTTCGAACGCCTGCAAGATCGCCTTCTCTGGGAAAAAAAGAAAGGAGGAGAAATAAATTTAAGTAAACTAATCAATAAGAACTTCCAAAAGAGAAGAAATGCACCAACGAAACGCAAACCGTCTAGACGCGCTGCTCTCGCTGGAGGCAACGCGGTGCATCCCGCTTATCGCTGAAAATGCGTGCAGGCGGCTAATTACGAGATATGATTCACTTCTTAGAGTTAAATTATTAAATATATTTCCAATTATTCCTTAATATCTGCAAAATGCGCATGTCTTGCCTGCGTGGGTGGAAACGTGAACTGTGCTGCAAGGAGGCCCCGTTTGGCTCGACGCAGCAGCAAATACGAATTGCTTCTCAAATGCCTTCAAACTTAGAATGATTTAAAATGCTGCAGCATGAATAATTGCGTGGAAGCAGCCTCTCGTTGTGCTGCTGCATGCTGTCTGTCGGCAGCCGCGTGCTGCAGCCGCAGCTGCTGTGCTGCTGCAGCCCTGCTGCAGCAGCAATACAGCAGCAAAAAGGACCGCCTCAGACAAACGGCCTTTTCTACAGCCTTTCTCTAAGTCTATTATCCCCTAATTCAAGACAAATGAAGAGTCTTATTAGGGGCTTTCCGGGGAACCAACAATACTAATAAAGCAGCAGCAGCAGCAGCAGCACCAAAATGGAAATTCGGAAAAAAGACAAAAAGCAATTATTCAAAATGCAGCAGAGTCCCTCGCTTTCCGCGGCTACCCAGGGTGAGGCAGCAGATGAAATGCCTGTCTTCTTGACTGACTCGCAGCAGCAACAACCAAACAGCCAGCCACTCAACACCAGCAGCAGCAGCAGCAGCAGCAGCAGCAACAGCAGCAGCAGTAGCAGAAGCAGCCCCGCCACCGTGAAATATTTGTTAGCATTTGGGGGCCCCTTCGGCCCCTTAGCTGTAGCCGGGGGGCCCCCGCAGCCGCCAGAGCAGGAGAGTCTTTCTGCAATTGTTTAAAAGCCTTTTTTTAATTATTGTCATTTAAAACTAATAAAAGCATTTTAATAATACCACTTGCTGCTAAAAGAGCAGCAAAAGGGGACTGCGGGCTGCCAGCTGCAGCAGCAGCGCAGCAAACTGCTGCAGGGGCCCCCAGCCTTCAATGGGGCCCCCCGGTGCTTGCTACACACAAACTTGGGGGGCCCCCAGCCCCTCTGGGCTAAACCATTTCGCCTATTTGCCTTTAAATGAATTTTGCTGCTGCTGCTGCTGCTGCTGTTGCTGAATGGCTACGGGGGCGCCAGCGGTGCGCTGGAGCTGCTGCTGCTGCTGCTGTTGGTTGCGGCCGCTGCAGCGGCTGGGCGAGCAGCCGCACCTCTAGAGGCAAAATCTGAATTAAAAAGTGAATCTTTGAATTAATTTTGCACAAAATAAAAAGGAAATGCAAATGCAATTGGAAACAACATCTTTGCTTCGCGATTGGTGCATGCAGGTGAGCAGCAGGGCTGCAGCTGGAGCTGCGGCAGCCGCTGCTGCTGCTGCAGCAACTGCTGCTGCGGCCGCAGCCGCTGCAGCAGCAGCTGCTGCAGCACAGTGTCGATTGGGGCTCTGCAGCCACTCGAGGATTATTTAGGAATTTAAAAAGAAGGGAAAAGGAAGAAAGGAAAGAGCCGCAGCGCCGCCGTCTTCCGCCCAGGGGAAAATGGTAGGCGTTGCTGCTGCAGCTCCCCGCCAGCAGCAGCTGCTGCAGCGGCGCTGCGGGTGGTATTTTTGAATTAATGGGCATTGGATTGTTCCGAAGCTGCGTGTTTGTTTTGTTGCTGCTGCTGTGAAGTGGAAATGGCTGAGGGCCGCAGCAGCAGCGCCGGCGCTGCAGCAGCGCGCAGCAGCAGCGGCGCTGTGGGGTGGGGCCGCCGGCAGCAAGTCCGCGCCGGACTTTCTTCTTTTTCTGCACCGTTGCTTTTTCGTAATTAATTAAACCAGCGAAGCCCGCCGAAGCTCCGCTGCGTGTTGCTGCCCAGCCCCTGCTGCAGCAGCCGCAGCAGCAGCAGCAGCAGCAGCAG